ACGGCCGCCAATAGTGGGCGGATATCCGTCATGTTTCTTGCCTTTACAGACAAAAAAACAGGAAGACGATGCAAAGGAATCTAAGCTCGTAACAGAAAGAACGCCTGGCCCGAAGGCGTTAAACCGGGAAGAGTATAATCAGGGCGCGAAGCAATGTACGCAGCTGCGGGTGGCGCCAGTATAGCGAATAGGAGGAAGCAGAAACGATTGCAGTTAAACAGACGCGTCGCTGAGAATACAATTCCATCACGGTTGAAGACAATTCCAGCTTCTCAGCACCACTACCACCACCAACACCATCACCCCAGCAAGTTTGCTCGTCCGCACGTTGTTCCACCATCTTCCACACCACAGCCACAACCACCGTCATCTACATTTCATCTGAGCATCGATCGACGGCGTCATGTCGAGAAGTGTCAGCAAGTTACACCTGTTTCTCCAATCCAATTTCCAATATCGCCACCACCACTGTCCCTTGAGTCACCTAGTTCAGTTACTTGTGCCACTAAGTCTAATTTTCCTTTTCCACCAACATCGATCCTCGATCTCCGAGTTTCACCATCTTCTTCAGAGCTACAGGTGGGTAGATTGTTCAGCAGTAATTTTTTTTAAATTGCTCTAAGGTCGTTTTATTATCTTTATCTTTTAGCTCTATTTCTCTTCTTTCTCTATCACACTAGTTGCTCTTGCTAGGTAACCCTATCACGTACTTATATGCAATTTCCTTATTCAAGTATTTCGATAATCCTCGTTGCACTTTGCACCTTCTTCGTGCTGGCACACCTTTACTTATTAGGAATACACCATCGATCGGCTGTCTGGTGGCGTATGTAAACCCGCGATAACTCATCCTCGAGCGGCCCCAGGTTCGTCAGCTGCTTATCCAAATTAAATTGTAATTTTTAGTAATTAACATGTCCTTCCTGGTTCCTATCAGCGGATACAAACATCACCTAATGTTGGAGGCAGACAGTGCAATGTTAGGAGTAAGTTGTAGTGTCTGGTATAAATCACAATTGGGAGACCTTTGAGAAGAAACTTGTGTGGTTTTTTGATTTTTGATTGGGGCAAAGAAAAATTAAGGGAAAAAGTTAAAATTTTACTGTGTAAAAAGTGGAAAGGAGAAAGAGGAGGAGGGGAAGGAGCAGGACGGTCGAGATCTTAAGGATCAATGAAACAGGCAAATGAATGAGCGGAATGCAGGCTGCTTTATTGATTAGAAGGGAGAAGCAACGGTTACGGGGGGGTAAGGTGGTGAACTTTAGAGATTTACCCTCCAACTTGGCCACCAGACTTATTCCGCCGCTTCCACGATATCCCCCACGATCATATGTTTATGGGGTAAGTATTAAAGTCATTTTAATATCATCAACAGTAACTATTGGCATCAGAGGGTAACTGTCGCTTCTCTAGTTAATTATATGTGCATTAATCTTCTATAGCTCTTGAAAAAAAAATTATATTGTAGTGATGTTTGTCCCTTTATTACTTTCTCTTATCATAGAACTAATGAATTCCTTATATTATTGTGCACTAATTTTTGTTTATATTTAAAAAAATTTACTGATGATTACTAATGATATAAATTCAGAGAAAAGAGAGAAAGAATTTGATGAGATAAATTTAAAATTTAAAATATTTTAATATTTTGTTATTCTAATTTAAGATATTAACATATACTTTAATAATACTAACAGATAATTATATGATATTCATTTCATAGAAATATTTTAAAGAAGTTTCTCAAAAATACATAATAATAATTTTAAAAAACATACTATAATATAAGTGCAAAAAATTGTAATTCTTACAATATGCACTATACTATATTCTTAAAGATTAATAACTACTACTAATTATGTTTAATCAATTCTTTGTTATCAATTAGAATGCAATGATTACAGTGTACTTGTGTAGACAAGTTCTACGATACATGTACGTATAAAATGTTTATACACATCTCAATTGGTTCCATTTATGCAAATTTTTCTATGTTCTATTTAGTAAATGCATGCATGTTTTTTATCTTATGTGCTGAGTAACGAGGACAAAAATCATTAATTAAATTTTTCTAATAATATAGTAACAAATGATAGATGTTTATTTCAATGAACATGCTTGAAATGATAGAGAAAGATGTAAAGAACATAATAATAATATTATTAATTTCAAGTTTTATATTTATTTATATTTTATACAATAGTATAAATATTTATAATAGATTAAGAAAAATGTTAAAAAATATTTAATATATTAGATTATTGACAATTTTATTATATCAAAATACAATAGATACTGAAGCATTGAATGATTTTTAATTGTAGTTATTAGGAAACTTTATATATATAATACCTGAACAGAAAATAATTTCAGTGTGGTGGAGGACCTGGCAAAGCAGCATGGCAAGGTTGCAGCAGACCTTCTCCCCTTCCTTTATCTCCTATGTCGCCTCACGCATGCCGTGGGGATGGCTACAAGACAAAGCAATGCGAGGCTCATCGACGATGGATGAAAAGAAACAGGGTAAATAAGTGCCTGTTTTATGATGCAATTTAAAATTAAAATTTGTAATTTATAATATTATAGAAAAGAATTGATTTCTGAATATCTATTAAATAATTTTATTTAATACTTAATATTTATTATGTTAAAATATATTCGTAAATATGAAATTCAATAATATTCATCATTTTTAGATAAGAGATGCAAGCTATTGCTATGGAAGCAGTGGAGAAGATGACGAAGAAGATGGAAGCAGTAATGCGAACCGTCGTAGAGGTGAAGTTAGCGCGGCGGTGAATACTGTACTTTATGCGGGGCTAGGAACTACAGCGCTCGGATTAGTTATATCGTTTGTCGGCACTGGAGAGAAAGGATTCCTCAGTCCAGAATTGAGGCTGGTGGGTCCTTCACTACTGTGCGCCGGTTTACTGTGTTGTCTATTTCGGGTGCTGCTCTGCCTCTGTTTATGTCGTTGCGGTCAATGCCGCTGGCGATTTTGTCATGTTGCTTCTGATAAAAAAGAAAAAGTGAGGAAAACGGAAGCTCGACCTGCTGGAACATTACCTACCGCCTCACTTTTGTCACCAACTCGTCAACGACAGCAACAACAACAATCGGCCATGTCTTCAAGTGGCGCTGCATCATCATCAACAAAAGCACATGAGCTCTTGCTCTCTCCTGCCCAATTACCAGAGTGAAAACGTTACGAACATTTTCTACGAGAATCTATACGCCGATTAACTGCCGGTTCTTGTCCAATATAGAATATTTTATTTCCATTTGACTTGAACCGTTTTCGCAAACAAAAAGAAGACAACCATCACAGCCTAATTCTAGTTTAAATGCGAATTCTAGCGCTTAAAATTAATAGTTAAAAAAACAATCGGCTATGTTTTTCTACCCCTACTGTGTTTGAAAAAGTAATAAAAAAAAAAAAATAATTATCAATGAGCTTTTGGACTGCTTCCTGCTTTATTTCCTTCCATATTTTTATTTTTTTTTTACAAGGATTGCCTAAAATTAAGTCACTTTCTTTTCAAAATATTTAAGAACATTTATGTTGTTCTATTCTTATAATTATCAGTTTATCATCTTAAACTGATTTTACAGTCTTACAAAATGCAATCTTACATGAATAAAATACATGTATAGTTGACATAGTTGCATTGTAAATTGCATTTTAAGTTAAATAATTTATATTAATATCATTTTAATATACAGTGATCAAGAAAGTTGAAATTGCATTTGATCAGTGGATGTATAACTATATATAACAGGTGTATCAGAAGTGGTAGCACTAGATGCAGTTGCAGCAATAGCAAATAATTGATCTTCATATATAGTTCCTTGTGGTTCAGTTTTTCCATTGCCTGTTGTTGGAACATTACCTGGATTGTCTCCTTTTGTTGCTTCTCTATATTTTTGTAGATATACTTTTAATGGTTCTACATAATTGTCAAAACCAAGAGTTGTCATAGCAAATAGAATATCTTCACCATTAATAGTTTTTCGTTTTTCCATATGACATCGATCACTTGCTTCTGATGTGATAAAAGATATAAATTCGGATACACATTCTTGAACACATTCGCGTGCATCTTTTGCTATTTTTCCCGCTTCTGGTATTGCTCTTTTCATAATTTTTGCTACATTTGCTATTGGAAGGAATCGATCTTGTTCACGAAGAGGTCCTCCAACATTGCCACTTCCAGCTCCTTGCAAAGGATCACTTGCCCCATGATTTGAATCATCCGTATTTTCAGGATCATCTAAAACAAAAATATAAGTATTATAAATTTTACATAATTTCGTATCAATATGAAATGAATACTTATTTTATATTGATCGATATATTATAAAATCTTATAATATTTCAAATCTTAGAATAGATTGAAAAAGAAAATGAGAAAAAGAATAAGAAACAAAAAATTATTTTTCTATAAAAAAAACGATTTATTATAAATTCGATTTTATAATATTAAATATGAATACAATTTTTAATTTGTTTTAAAAATTTGTCAAAATATTATTAACCTACCTTCCATATCGTCAGACTGTACACTGATATATGATGCAGAAACACCACCTCCTCCAAGAAACGCAGTCGGGCCTAAAGGTCCTCCATCGTCACCACTTTCACCACTATTTTCCATCTCCAGTTTGATACACTAAACACACAGTATAAGAATTTTAATTCCTTAACCTGTTTATAGCTTTGTTTTCACAATATTTTATTACATTTTTTGGCATAAACAACCTTATCAATAGACATCGATAACACACGCTTTTAGCGAGATTTTCTTGGTACAACTGGTGCCCTCGCACTAAACGAAAATATTAAATTTGTAACCTAAATACTAATAATCAGTTTTTAAAAATTTTTATACTATTCGTATGATTTACAGTGTTTCCTTTATTTTTTTAATAAAACCTATAGTTTCTATCTATTATGCTAGGTAAAATGCAAAAGAATAAACAAAAACAAACGAAACATTTAGGCAGATTCGTAAATAGAGCAAGAATTAAAGCATAATTTACAAATCTGTATCTAAACGACCCTCCTGAATAGAATAATAATAATCGATGTTTGGTCGTGTGTGAGCATAAATGTGCAACAAGTAAGTTTATTTAAAGCTATTGATATGGCCATGTCTAGCATTTTATTAATGCGTAAAGGTCTTTCAATAAATGGTAAGCGTATTTTCTTTATTTGTAACATATGCCAATCACAATTCATATTCATATCATTTTCATCTTGACATTCGTTACTGAAATTTCGAAATAAATTATTTAATTTATAAAAAAAATATTATAAGTTGTATAATATATTTGATGATTGCATTTGTTTACGCAAGTTTTATATTATATATTTTTCATTGACAATGAATATATATGGTTTTGTTTATAATATAATACGATCGCATAAGTAAGACATAATCTTTTTTAATATCGTTGTAACTATACAATCTATTTTATTTTAGATATTCATTTTAAAATAACACGTAATTCTGTGTGTTTAGTTTAGTTTAGATATTTTGTTTATTTATTAAATATTATTAATAAATACGTAAAAGAAGAGGTTATGTTTTACTATATTTTATAAAGTTATTTATGTGATAATTATTCAAGTAAAAAAATGACAGAACTACAAGAAGATTTTACAAAGACATTTATTAAAAAATTAACAAACGATTTAAAAGAAAATAAATTCAAAGAAGTTTTGAATCTCTTTGAGGATAGTAAATATGATGATATTATTAAAGACTCTTCATGGGATATTGTTCCAATTGTAGCATCACATCTTACTGCAGAAAACATAAAATGCAATGAAGATTTAATTGAATGTTGTAAAATAATTTTAAATACTATAGTAGAAAAATGTAATCCTTCTGAGACAATATTAGAATTATTAGAACAAATAGAAGGCCCAGAGGATGCCATCAAATTTTCTATAATTCTAAATATACTTACTAAGTGTCTTTCTAAGATGAAAGATAAAATGAAAGCAATAGAATGGTGTATTAGTACAATAAGATCTTATATTGAAAGTTTACCTATACCAGAAAAAGGATCACAAAACTATATTGCTACTATAAATAAAATAAAAAATGCTTATGATGCAGTTATATTATTTTTAGAACCATTAATAGATGAATCAAAGTTACAGAATTCAGAAAAATATGTTATATTAAGAGATTATTTAGCTAGCATTTTAATTTTTTTAATGGGAAAGCCATTATATTATTTAGAAGAAAAAGAAATAGAATCTTGTTTAAATCAATCTTTACCTGAGAGAATTGTTATACTTACAAGTCATATAACTGGAGATTTATTATGGCTTTTAAATATTGTAAATGTACGAAATAAAAAGATCAATTCCAAGAAAAAGAATATGGAAATAAACAATTTTAATCTTAAAGTAACACTTTTTGAATTAAATGAGAATATATCAGATTTGGCATATGCTAACTTTTATTTTTATGTTATAACAAAAATTCATTTGTGGGAAAGGGTACCACAGGTATATGATATGCAATATATTTTTCAAGCATGTATATATTTTATTATTAAATTACTACAAGAACAAGAAAGTGTTGCAAAAGGTTTGAATTTTATGGATCATCTTTTAATGAGAATGACAAAATATTCTTTAACATTACCATTATTAGAATTGAATATATACTTTGAATTGTTTAATGTACTTACAAAAGTAATGATTTATTGCAATAGTGATAAAGAAAGAAAAAAAGCTTTAAATATATTTCAAAACTATATTGACATGTTTGATATGCAAGCTAGGTATTTTGTTGTTTTGCATTTATATCAAACTAGTGAGCATTCAGGTTTACTTAGTTTAACTACTGGAATAGTTAAAACTTCTATAATTGAATGTCTTCAAGAAACACCTCATCTACCATATTTTCTTGGTAATAATCTGGAAACTTTAATCAAATTAGCTTGTAAATTACATCATGGTAGTGCATCTGATTTGGTGGAATTATCTGATGAAATAATTACGAGTTTAAATTTGTTGAGATTTCTATTTATAAAAGATAAGCAAAATCAAACTGGTATTTGGAACTTAGTAAATAAACTACAAAATGATTATTTAAAACCATTAAGAGAAGGATTAGATCTATGTAGAGCACATTGGAAAGTAAAAATAAAAGATTTAGAAGAACAAAAGAAAATTCACAAAATAATTGAAAATATAGAATTAGAAAAAAGTGATACAGAAATAATATTAAATGTTGGTGGTGAAAAATTACCTGCAATGCCTATTTCAGAAAAAATTTCATTTTGTAATCAAGCAATAAATGGTCTTGATGTGATGGAAAGCATTTTAATTAGAGTCAATGAATGTATTGATAACAATTCTTTTAAATGATATAATAATTATATGTGTGATTATAATAATCACATAGTATCTTCAAAATAAAAATTGTACATTTATTAAAAATGTATATCATTCACTGTTTAATAAAATCATACCTCATTTATATTTTATGTATTTTGACTGTATCCTATTATTTACTATTTCATATTTCTTGAAAAACAAAATTTTTAAATTTTGATTTTAATAGGTTTTAGAAGTTTATGGACTTGTAGAGTTTTATTCAATGATCAAATTAAAAATGATACACAAAAATCAAATCAGAAATATAGTAATGAAAGTGAAGAAGAATATGAGAAAAATATCAAATCAAAAATTCTTGAGGCATCTTTAAAATATGTTCATGATCTAGGATGGAGTCATAAAGCCATCAGTGCTGGTAATTTGTAATAATTTTTCAGTTAAGTAGATGAGTCAGAATCAAGCTTTTATATGAGTGAATAAATATATTTTAAATGTATTACATGTTTACTAATTAACATGTTTACTGATTGCTTTCAGTTTTAATTTGAAAATAATAATTTCATATTATTAGTATATAATGCAGATAATAAATAAAAATATTTAATGAAAAGTTATATACCAAAGGTGCTGAATCTATTGGATATCCTGGGATAATTCATGGATTGTTCCCTAATCGAGGAGCAGATTTGGTTCATTATTTCTACTTAACATGCAACAAAGAGTTGAATAACATCCTTAAAGAGCAAACTCTTGCAAATCAAGAAAATCGTAAAGAAACAAAAACACTATTATTAGAAGCACGTAATGCTGTTGAGACAAGGCTTAGAATGGTGATTCCTTATAAGAAAACATGGCCACAAGCTTTAGCTCTTATGTCTCTTCCACCTAATGTACCAATGTCACTAGCTAATTTACTTACTTTAGTAGATGATATTTGCTATTATGCTGGTGATAGATCAGTTGATGTAAGAATATATTTAGTTTTATATATATAGTTCTATTTTTCAAATATATTTTAAAATGTTTTATTGAAATTTGTTTGAATTAGATAAACTGGTATACTAGAAGAATAGTATTAGCAGGTATTTATAAAACTACGGAATTATATATGATACAAGATAATAGTGAAGATCATCAGAAAACTTGGTATTTTTTGGATAGACGAATTAAAGATGCTACACAAATTCAAATGATTCTAACAACAACTTCTGATATGGCTTTACCAGATCAAGCTTTGAATCGTGCTACTGAAGCTGCAACTGCTGCTTTTGTTACAGTAAGTATTTAAAATTTTAAATATCATCTAATAAAATAATTATATACCAAACAAAGTATTAAATATTTCTATTTTCAACAGGCACGCAATATACTTGGACTGAATTGGAATAGGTAGAAAAAAAATTAATACTATATAATACTGTATGGTATTAATTATTACTAGATTACTAAAATGAAAGCACAGAATATGAATTCATTTGTTACAAATGAAAATTTATCAAAAGAATTTATGTACAGAGTTTATTTAGCAGTGGTATTAAAAAAATAATAACATTAAAGGGAATTAATAATCATGGCTAATTTATTTTGATATCGTATTTTAACAAGATCTGTACATTTGAGACTGAATTTAATAAATGCAATTTATTCCTGTGCAAGATAGAAAGATATAAATTGTTAGAAATATAGATTTAATAATATTTAACAATTACCCTGCAATATTGTCATAATTAAAATAATATACTTATGTTTTATACAAAATTATGTTAAATCTCCATTGAATAAGAGATTAATTTTCATTCTTACTATTCAATTGAGCAGGAGATTATTTTACTATAAAAAATGTATTTACAAACACACCACACAGCCAAGTATTTCACGAATTATTTAAATTTTGAATTACATTAAAATATATAATAATTATATATAGTTTATGATGAAGTAATTTATGCAAAAGATTATTATAAACTATCATTTACATATTATTCATTATCATTGATGCTGATATAATTACATGTAATATATTAATCAATTTTCATAAAATTGAAAATATCTTAATAAATTTAAAAATGAGGATTTCAATTTTTATAAAAAGATAGTCATATCTAATCTTGTCATTTTTTAGAAGTAGATTTCTTTGAAAAAAATATTGCTTTACAATACAAAAGATAAAATATCTAAAAACTTATTATCAATATATTATCAATATTATAGTATATTTTATACTATAACAAATATTTTCCAAAAAAGCCAATATTAATAATGTGCTTCTTCAATATAACCTTTGATTGTTTTTGGTAAAGGCAACTTATGAATATTATCTAATCTAGTGTTTTGACGTATGACAAAACGACAAAGATATTGCAAACTTCGAACTTGCGTAAATCTGCTTACTGGCTTTGTTAATCTAACTGGAAAAGATGGATGACCAGGATATTTAGGTCGTGAATAGCAAAAGACTGCAGACTGACTAAAATTCATTGAATAATCAATTAAATCAGCTACTGAACTAAATCCTTCACTCTCACTTTGGTTGCATAAAGAAAATAAACCACCACTATGTTCCATACGAGCATGAAGTAGTTTGCCAGATGATTTAAAGCTAAGTGTTAGGACATATCTGTAGAAAAATAAATATTAAAATATTTCACATGCTCTTTGCAATATTTTTAACAAAAAAAAGAGAAGATAGAAAAAATAACCTGTCATCTGAAGAGTCCCTTACTAAAAATGCACCATCTGGTTCAGATAGAAGTTTGGCATCAGCTTCATTTCCTGATATTGGACCCCAATACCATCCATAATTACTTAATTTAAGCAATTCTTCTGTAAGACTTGCTTTTACTTTATTATCATTATTTCTACTAGTCTCTGTACTTTCTGTAATTCTTTCAACTTGATGTGTTACTGTATTATTTTCTATTATTATTCTCGATTCTAATTGTTCTATTTCATTACTGGAACATGATCGAAATATGTTAGAAATATTTTCATTATTAATATTTGTTTGGAACTTATTAGTAATTCGTTCATTAATATCTTCTAATTTTTCTTCAATATCTCTATAATCTTTTATAATTTTATTTAAATCTTCTGAAGTGTATTGATTTTTTGATATTTCTATATCTGTCAAAGTTTCATTGCTATTTAGAATATCAGAATTTTTAACAATGTCTTCATATTTTAACTCAGACATATTCTCTTCTGTAAAAATTGTAGATCTGTTGTTTTGAATTGCTGATGGATCATAATTCATATCATTTTGTAGGCTAGATGTTTCAATTTCTTTTATCTATAAGAATATATAATGTTTTTGTTATACATAAAAACATAAAAATATTTTTTACTCCAAATCATTGTTACTTACTCTTTGCTTTGATTTATGTGTCAACTTTTTGATTTGCATATGTTTTTTAATATTTTTAAAAAAATCGAAAGATGTTTTATGAAAAAACGTATTTTTTGTTTTACTTTCAATGATTTTAACTTCTATCAAATCTTCTTTTTTCTTTTGGTTCTCTTCCTTTTTTAATACGTTCTTACGTCGTGAATCACGCCACCAAAGAAAATCAAACGTTCTAGCGTTTAACTTCTGTGGTTTTAAGTCTTGATTTGATATTTTTGTTGTATTTGTTGGTGCAGTCATGATAAATTCCTCTGACGTTTGACTTATCATATTCAAATGTTGTGCGACCCTTCAAACTGGCTCTAAGTTGAAGAAAGGGTTCACTTGCACTATCTTATCAAAAATTATTTCACACGCCATCTATTTCTTAACTTCTTTTTTTTCGCAATTATTACTTTTTCTTACAAATTTATAAAACTTTATTATAATTCGCCGCATAACGATTACTTTTTTAAATTAATTTTATACTGATTGTATTTAAATGGTTTTGTGTACTTCGTAAATTTGTTCCAAATTATCCCCTGCTGCTTCAAAAATATATTATTCCACTAACTTCAGTTAAAAAGTTCCTATTAACTATGTCATTATTGGTTAAAGTGTTCCTTACCAATGTATGTACCATTAATTTTCTAGAAAGAAAAAACTAAAGCAATTGCTAGTTGGTTTATAAGCATTTCTATATTTTTAAAATATTTTATTTTATTAATCACGCTATCAGAATTTATCTCAAGTATAGATATATTCTATAACGAAATAATATAAAGTTCATTGAAAATGAAAGAAAAAATTTTTTTGTCATTGTCCCATTTAACCTCAAATGCACTATTCTTAAAAATTAAAAATCAAATTATAAATTAAGAATAAGTTTTTCATGTTTTGATTAATTTATCATTAAATATCAAATATTAAATGTCAAAAAAATGAGTGATTCTGAGGATGAAAATTATGTTACATTTGGAGTACCTCTTGATCCATTAGACGAAGGTAAATAAAAAATTTCGGCAGATATAAACAATTATTGTATAATATTATATCTACTTTCATATAATTCATATAATTATTATAGATAATTTACCGAGAAAAAAACCAATGACAATTGAAGATCAATATGCATATGATGCACAAGGAAGACGTAGATTTCATGGTGCATTTACAGGTGGTTTTTCTGCTGGATATTTTAATACAGTAGGCACAAGAGATGGTTGGAGACCACAACAATTCAAATCTTCTAGAAGTAGTAAAGCAGAAAGTATAACACAGCGTCCAGAAGATTTTATGGATGAAGAAGATACAAGTGAATTTGGAATTGCACCAACAGGAATTCGTGCTACAGAGGATTATGGTGATCATAGTCAAAGAGGAACAAAACGTGAAAGACCTATTTATGATAGCAATGGTCCTATTCCTGGCACTCCAGTATTAAAAGAACTTTTAAAACCTGTAAAGTAAATATCTTTGTTATGTAAGAAGTTCAAATTAAATAATTTAATAAACTTCAAATTATTAATTTTAATAATGATGATTTATTATAATAGAGAAACAGTTGGTATTATGTTATTAAAAAAAATGGGATGGAGACCAGGACAAGGTACAGGATCAAGACTTACAAAAAAGGAGAAAGCTAAAATTAAAAAAAGAAATGAAAGAATGAAAAATTTACAACAAATATCTAGAAAAGCAAGCTCAGAAAATAGTTCTGAGGATTCAGAAGATGATTATGAAAATGTTACATTTGCACCTGATGATTATGAACCATTTAGGTAAATATTAATATATAATTTTAAAAACAAAAATATATTAACTGTATCTATTTTTTACAGATGTAATCCAAAAGACAATTATTTTGGTATAGGATACAGTGGTTTAGACAGAAGAACAATATTATCTGGTCATGTAAATTTATTTGATACTCCAGCATTTAATATGCAAGACAAAAATAAAAAATTGTCGATACATGGACAAGCATTTGGAGTTGGTGCATTCGAAGCCGATGATGATGATATATATGAAAGAGAAGATATGTCACGTTACGATTTTTCTCTAGCTCCAGAACGGAAATCCAAGACAAGATGGTCTGATGATAATTCGAAAAATTTAAGTAGTAATTGTTTAGAAGGCTTTATATTAGCAAAAGATAAATTAAAACTGAAAACAATTTTTCAACCTCCAGTATTACCAAAAGATTTTGTACCAGTACATATAATTAGAAAAAGTCGATTTTATCCTCCAATTGAAAATGTTCATCGTGGAATTGAAAATGGAAAGCGAAAAGATTTAACAGCAGCAGACAGAGCTAGAATATTGGAAGATACATGTAATGTGAAAAAACCATCTGAAATATATCCAAATTCAGTATCATCGGTTGTTTCCAATATTATTTCTAAAACGTTAAATTTACACGGAAAGCAGCAAACTGAAGAAAGACAGAAAGAAGAAAATCTAAATCAAGGATCTAAATCAGCTGTTTCATGGATGGAAAAACTAAATGTACAAAGTTTTGTTAAAGGAGGTATTATTGGTCCTGGTAAAGATTTCGAGAAAAATTTGAAAGAATTAAAAGAATTTAAAGAAAATTCATCAACTTCTGAACAAACAAAAACAAGTGTTAATGAGTTAGATAAAAATAATTTTATGAAAAATAGCAATATGAAATCATTTTTTTCTAATCCTGATAAACAAAGACGTTTTGAACAATATTTAGTTTTTATGAGACAGGGAGAAAAAAATAAGCTTGAAAGTATACAACCATTATCTATGACAGAATGGGATAGAGAACACGAACGAGTTGAATTTGAACAAGCAATTAAATTAGTTGATCAACCAACAAATGATCATGTTGAAAATAAATGTACTCATGATTCCACAAATATAGATGTTTCTACAACATTTAATCAGGAGGATGAAATGAAACAAGCTGTAAAGATGAAAATGTTTGGAAAATTAACTCGAGAGCGCATGGAATGGAAACCAGCAAGCATAGTATGTAAAAGATTTAATATTCCTGAACCAAAAATTGGCTGTGCTCCTGAGATGCAGAAGAAATCAGCAAAGTTTTCAATTTTCGATTCTTTTGATTGGAATAATTCTACAAAATTTTTGCGGGCATCGAAAGAATCAAACGAAATTAATATATCGCCAAAAGATAAAAACATCATTAACAATACAAACTTGAATGTTAAGACAAATGATAATAAATCTTTTGACAATGATCAAACTTTCGAACCTATATCAGAAAAAATAAGAAATTTTGAAGTTTCTTACGAAAAAGTTTTTGGAAAAGAAATGCCAGAAACATCTTCCAAAATGTTAGAAAATGAACAAAATGTAGACGAAAAAATTGATCCAAAAAGAGTAACAGAGATTACAGATCAACAAGATAAAGATCAGGAAGAAATTAATTCTGCAACAAATATTACATTAAAAGGTACATCAAAAGAAAAGAAAGATCTATTTAAGGCAATTTTTTTAAGCAGTAGTGAGGAATCTGATTCCGAATTAGAGGAAAGCGTAGATAGCGAGGCTGTAAAGTCCGTTTTAATTGGTAAAGTTCCAAGCGAAATAAATTTAAATAGAAATACTTCTCCACCAAGAGGAATTTTTGCAAAAGTAGATCTTGATAATTTAGTCATTAATTCAAGAACTAGTATATCAAATGAAGGAATTAATAAAGAAGAAGATATAAATACAACAAATTCTGACTTAGAAATTAAATCGAAACAAGATGATGATAAATTAAATTCAGAAACTCAATTATTACCTGATATGTATGGACCTGCTCTTCCTTCAAGATTATTGAAAAATACAAATGAAATAGCAGAAGCATCCAGTTCACAATCTTCAAAACCTATATTTAAAAGTGTTGTAATACCAAAACCCAAGATGGACTCAAAAATTTCTGGTGTATGGATAGAACGAGAAAAAATGAAAAAAACAAAGAAAGAGAAGAAAAAACATAAACACAAAGAACATAAAAGTTCGAAACATAAACGAAAATCGAAAAAAGAAAAGCGTGATTCGTGACATAAGAAATTGGAACAATAATAAAGGAATTAACAAAGAAGACGTTGATGGAAAAACTGTATGTACTAGTTATTTATAATAAGTTTTTTTTATTTGCAGTTTCGTATGGTGCCTTGTATATATATATTTACTTATATACAATATAATATTTGAAAATGCTTGTGTAAATTTGAGATTAAGATAGCAAAGGGATATTCGATATATATGTATACAAAATTATATTCTTTTGTATATATTCTAATCACACATTATTGAGAAATCCCTTATTTTCATATTATTGGTGGTAATTTAAAATCATTTGTCGTCAGAATCATTATACATTTAAATGTGTGTAGTATCGATATATTTTAGAATTTGTTCGACGTTGTGGAATTTCTTGATTCTGGTCTACTATTATTAGAGCTTATCTTCTTCTCTATACTGAAAATATAGAAAGAATTATATTTTTTTATCTTGCGAAAATTTTGATTTCATTGCTAAAATTTTATATCATTAATATCACTTTCGAAGTTAAATTATTTTTATAATTATGTATATATATTGAATATATTATTAATATGAATAATTTATTATTTATTAATTTTTTTAGTTTTTTAGTTTTTTAAATTCTACTTTTTGTACAATTTAATCAATTTTTAGAAATAATAGTTGAAAATATAAACTTTTCTATTTTTATTTTAAACAATAATATACCTGCCACTTCTTGAACCTCTTTTGAACATGTCTGTTAATTTTTTCTTTAGATTTTTCTTTTCTTCTGTAGTTTTCTCATTAATGCTTGTCTCGGATCCTGATGTCTAAAAAAATTTTTGTTTAAATCATTAAAACGATAGGTTTTTTTTTCAAACAAGAATATCGTTGTTTATTTACCTGAAGAGAATGATCCACAGAAATATTTGGATCATCAACACTAGCTGATTTAGTTAATTTGGTTGTAATTTTTTTTATTATACCTTTACCGTGTTTCTTTTCTCGGTCCAACATCTCGCTCTTCGTAGAACCCGTAGAAAAACGACTATATTTCGTAAAAAAATTTAATTATTATTATATTTAATATTTTTTCTTTTTTTTTTCTCAATCTTGAGAGTAATGATTCTTAACATATTTTTAATATAATTACCTATCAACACTAGAATCTCTTTGTAAACTCAACCCTCGTCCTTCAACATCTGAACCTTCTAATGATTGCAAACTAGACATATTGCTATTGGTGCCCCAAATGCGTGACTATATAATTATAATAAAAAATAATATTTTTTTATTACTTATTCTAGAAAGTTTAATAATGTAAATATTTTACATACTTCTTCATTTCGTTCTGATGTTTGTTCCAAAGATAAACTTTTTCTCTTTAATCGTGGTTTCGAACGAGATGTCGTTATACCTTTTCCTGGGTCACTTTCCACGGATGTCGATCTATAAAATTGATTGAATTTTATTTAAATAAACAATACTAGTCACTGTTTTTAATAAATACCTTTTGCCAAGTTTTTTCAATCGTGTTGCGTTTACTTCATCTGCTGTTTTCTTTGATTCTTTCAGTTCTTTTGCCACATCCATTAATTTTTTAACAGTATATTCTAATTTTTCTGTTCGCTCACCAAGTTGAGAATTTGAACCTAACAATAAATTTAATATGTTATAAATTATAAAATTTATATAATATATATATATTATATATTATAATATAATTTTAATTAAAGTAATAAATATTAATCACACCTCTTATATCACTTTTTGCATCCAACATTGGTGACGATTCCCTCGATTTTGGTCCCTGGTAAATAATTTTTATATTGATTTATCAATTATTTTACTTATTATTAATTTACTTATTGTTTTATTTGCAATTTAATTAATTAGAATAGTTAATTCGCACCTTTAGTCGTCTAGGTGGAGTCGGTGTATAAGTATTTGCAGTTCCATTTTCTGTTATACCGTTCAATTCAGGGAAAAGTTTCATTAAATCATTGACTTGTTGCATCAACACATTAATGTTTTTTAATTCAATCTGTTCTTGTTTACATTTCTTCAAAATTACATCTTTAAGTTCTTCTCTTTCCTTTTCATGCCGTTCTTTTTCACGTCTCATTTTTTCATTGCTAGTTCTCAGTTTTGCATGAGCGTCTCTTAATTCGAGTAAATCGCATTGTAACTGTAAAAATAAATATATTTTAACAGTCTTAAAATTAATAAATGAAATTTTAAAATTATTCTAAAACTTTTATTTATACCTCCAACAATTTCTTCTTGCTTTCTTCTTTTTCTTCGTCGTACACTTTCTTTAATTGATCTTGTCGTCTTTTATTCTCCAATCGTTCCTTAGAACGTTCCCTCTCAATCTACAAAAAAAAAAAAGAAATTATTCGTTTTCTTATATCAATAGTATTAGTATAGTAATAGTTTTAATCATATACTTCAAATAAAGTTTGTCGTAAATCTCTCGCCAATGTAGCCGTTTCCTGTAGCAATCTCTGATGTTCTTCTCTCTCCTTTTGCCATGCTAACTCCATTCGAACTTTTAATCCTGGAATTTTTGTTCTGCCGCTAGAAAGCACTCTCTCTTCTTCAAGCTATAAATATAAGGATAAAAATAAAACAAAAATTACATAATTATGTTTCATTCAAAATCATTTAAATACTTCGTTAATCCGCGATTGCAATTCAGACACTTTAACGTGACTTGCTGATTTTTCTGACACCAATTCGGCTTTTAATCTAGATGCCTCTAATCTTGTTTCTGAAAGTTCATCTTCCAAACTATTAATTTGCCTTTCCAGAACCAACGCATTGACGCCAGACATTTCCTCTTCCTATAAAATGTAAATAATTTTGTAAATAAAAATGAAAGTATTGTTTTTAAACGAGATTAAAAATAACCAACCTCATCAGATTTTCCAGAAGATGCATTCGATTGTTTACCTTTGGCTGATTTTAATTCTGCAATAGTTTTTTGAGCACCTTCCAACATATGTTTGTACGTATCACGCTCGCGTTTGTATCTAGATAATTGATTTTGAATAGCTTGAATTTCATCATTAATAGCAGTGATCCTATGTTCGTAACGCATTTTACATTGAGCTAAGTCAGCTTTCTTCGCCTTTTCCATATTTTCAAGGGCATTTTTTAACTTTCGTATTTCTGATTCCAAGGCTGTAGTGTCCGGTGTCAAAACTTGATGGATCTTCGATACTGCTTCGTAATCTTTTAGTTTGTTAGAGAGATCATCGTTCTAAAGAAGCATAAACATAAAAAAAAAAATAATATTAAAATTTATTTTATTATACAATTACGTATAATTTTCGCTATTACAAATATAGTTTAATTTTTTTACCGCTTTTCTTAAATCTTCTAATCGGGTTACTAATGTATTGTTTTCTTTTTTCAAATTGCTTATATCATTATTTAAATCTGTTATCAAAGCTTTGTTTGGCAATTCACTTTCCCGTATACGATTCTGGAAAATTTACATTAAAGAAATTTGCAATACTCTTTATAATATTAAAGATTTTAATTTATAACTTACTTCTAGAGCTGATTTCTCCGACCGCCATTCACTTTCTTTCAATTTTATCGATTGTCTCAGTAATTCTAATTCTTTGCGAATGCTTGTCAATTCTGTATTTTGTTCTCGTAATTTACTATTTAAGAAAGAAAAATATGATATAAAAATATTAAAGTTAAAATCTCGTTATAAATAAATGTATAGTATTAACAATTACCTATTCAATGATTCATTATCCGATTCGAACTGTTTTTTCAAATTCGTCAATTCGTTATATTTTCTGTTCAAATTATCGTACTCTGATTCGCCTTTCTTTATCTCGTTCTCCAAATCTAAAATATAAGTCACTGTTATCTTATATAGAGTTTTCTGATATTTTTGATGCCATCATAGTGAAGTAACTTACTCAAAATCTTTTCATTATACGTTTGCCTCATTTCATTCATCCGTTTCGCGTTCAATCCTGTTTTTTCCAATGAATTGATTTTCTTTTTCAAAGTAGATACTTCAGTTTCATTCGATTGTTTCTCTTGATCAATTTCAGATAACAATTTCTCTTTTTCTTTCTTTAATTCTGAAATCTTTGTAGTTAGATCATTCATTTTCGTGGAATTTAATGACGTTATGGTTTCCAACTCCTTCTTTAAACGTTTTACTTCGGTATCAAGTTTGGTTTTCGTTTGTTCTATCTATATTAAAAAAGAAAAGAAAAATCAAAAATAATCCCAATATTTATATTAATTTGTATTTGTATTAATAATTCTTCAATTTTTATCTTTAAGAGATAAATTAATAATCACTGATTTCATTGATTGCGTCATTTTTGATTCCCGTTCCGTATATGCTAATAAATCATCTTGCAACTTTTTCGATTTTTCTCTTTCCTGATTTAATTCTTTCTTCAACTCAGTTATTGTTTTTTCCATCTTTGTTATTTCATTTTCCGACGATTTAACCGTTTCTGTAAAAAATCAGATAAGAAAAGAAGAAAAAAAATTTTAAAATCTTACTTATATATAAGTAAATTCGTAATTTTATTAATTAATTTTATAATTTTACCTAAATCCTTTTTCAATTGTACAGTTTCATTATATACTTTAAGTTTTTCCGCAGATAGAGAGAGGAGCTTCGACTTTAGCTTCTCTTTTTCTTCTAACAATGCTGTTTTGTCTTGATCCCATGCCTTTCTCTCGTTTTCTCTCAATGTTATAGCTTCGTCCAATTTTTTTTTTACTGAATCATTTTCATTATTAGAATAAATTTATGATAAAAGATTTTTAAAAAGTAAATAATTTTTTATTAAAAAATTAAAAATATTTTACTTACAATTCTGCAAATCTGTACTTTTATCCTCGATCTTACCACTCGTTTGCATTTTCTTTTTTTCTTTCTCATCTGATAATTCTTTCATAACAGAATCAAATTTCTCCTTTAGTGATTCGTGCTCTTTTAAAAGTTTCTCATATTTTACGTGATTATCTTTCAATTTAATATCTTGAATGTTCACGTCTTTCCCATCAGAAATGTTTTTAAATATAATCATCATATCTCCTGAAATACAATTTTATATATTTTTTTATCCATAAATTTTTTAACATACGTAAAAATATCAAAATGCAAATTGTTTATATAACTAAGTTTATTAAATTAAATTTCCTTTAATTATCTAATTTAATTGTATTGATCCAAATTTATAAGTTATTAAAAAAAAGAAAGAATCGAAAATAATATTTGATATCTTAGTATAAAAAGATAATAATAAAGAGATAAAATAAAAAAATAATATAACGAACCTATTTCTTTTTCCATTTCGTCTACCATTTTTTTCAGTTGTACTTTGGTTGTAAATTCTGTTGCTTTCTTCAGACTTCTATTTTCAAACTCGCCTTTTATTTTTTGCAACGTTTCTTCAATTTTTTTTTACCTAAAAAAAAAAATTTTTAATTTTGTATTTATATGTTTATATTAAATATCAAAAAATTGATTATTCCATTACTCAAAAATTCATTAGTTCTGATATATTTGAGAGTTGTATTAATTCTTTAATTTAAATTTTACAAAGGAACTTGCCTCTTCGTATTTTTGTTCTAGGGTTGATTTTTCACTCTCTAACTCCTCCACCTTTCGTTCAACTTTTCTCAACTTAAACGACAAGATTCGACAATTCTTATTCGACTGTTCCAAACTTTTTCGCAAACGAACTTGTTCGTCTGCTTGTTCGTCCCTTAATAACATATAAATTTTTTTTTTAACTCAAAATAAAATTTCTCTCTAAAGAATACAAGCACATTAGAACGGGATAAAATGGATAATAAAACATTTACAAAATTTAAATTTACATCATTTGACAGTGCCATGTAAAAAAAAAAAAAAAAAAAAATGAATCGAATTCTCGCACACGTTCAAATCAAATTTTTGTATTAAAGATTTACAAATGTTCTTATACAAATTATCCAGTTCTAGTGAAGTTGAACCACACGTTATAATTACCTTAATTAATTAGTCACGTACACATTCAATTCAAACGGAAGCCGAAATGCCATTCGGGATGAGCGGAAGCAGAAGGAAGCGTACGCGTGAAAAGTGTACAATGATCGAAAGGGTTCGATGACAGTATTATGTTCCACATACTGCTCTCTATATTAAAAAAAAGTTATTTTATTCTTATTTCTCTGCCTCTTTATTAAGGTTCAAAGTATGATTTTTTTAAAAAAGATTTTCCCTCCTCGATAAAAGAACGATAAAGAATAAACGAGTGATAGTACTCATTTTACCAAGAAACGAAACATCCACTTTTGATCCAGCTTTGGCGAAAAGCAGTGCCATTCTTGTGTTGGAATCTTCCATCCAAATCGATGTCCTGCAACAATTCAGATAGCTCATTTTGCTAAACATTTTCGGGCTAAGTCTTTTCTTTCGTAGACATTACATGGCAGAGGTTTAATTAATCGTTTTTCTTTTTTTTTCTTGTGATATTTTCTTAAACTTTCCTCCTGAATGAGAATTATGAAAAAAAATTAGATTTATTTCTCTGAACGTTTCATTTTCTTAGAATAATTTTTCTTTTTTAAGGAATTATTTTAAGATAGAATTTTTCTTTTCTTTTTTTCTTGATAACCGCTGCAGTAAGTGAAAATCCACTGTTTTCGAGCCCCTTCAAAATTTTTTCATATCTAATCAATATTGCTTCTTCCAGAGATAATCATTCTTTTTCTTTTTTTTTTTATGATATCTTGTGTCATATTATGTCATTATATTGATCACATTTATTAATACAAACAAACATATATGTTATTGATAAACACGAAAAAAAAAAAGAAATCACAAAAGAGCGAGTCATGATTCGCTGTTCTGAAAATCAAATTCCATATTGATTGGTTAATCAATTTGAATTCAAACAAATCAGTTAGTAAAATTAACTTATTGAACGCTTTCTTTTTCTGTAATAATCATATATTTTAAATATCAATTATTTCCTTAATTTATAATGAAAAGTATTATAACAATTGAAGTACACATCAAATTATAGAGAGCGTTAAATCAAATTTTTTTTAAACATTTTTTTGAACATTTGTAAAATATTCTATATATGTTTAACAATAGTGAAAAAAAAATATAAATTGAAAAAAAGCGAAGTAAACATGCGTAAGTGAAAAGGAAATCACGTAGAAAAATATATTTGCAAAGAAAAAGAAAACATATTACCTAAAAGTATCTTGCAGTTCGTATATCTCTTCCTCCAATTGCCGAATTTCCTTCTTCATATCTTCGTTTTCATCCATTAAATTCTCGCATAAATTTTCCGCGGCTTTCAATTTCGAACGTAATTCATCCTTTTCACGATCTCGTTCTCCTCTGAACATCTTTGAATTCGTTCTTTTTCAAGCTCTCTTATCTTGGTCAATAAGTTGTTCTTTTCTTGTACGAGCGCTAAATATAATTAATATTGGTTAATTTTATTATTTTACGAAAGATTTAATTATCTGTACTTCTTTTTTTTAAATATAAATGAAATAAAGGATTGATAATAATTTATTGATTTTTTATTAAACTAACTTGAAATAGCAAGTTATTCTTCTGCACGATCAAAATTGGAAACAATTAAAAAATACACTTATTTATTAGTAGAATTCGTAAAAAATCGTAAAGATTTTATTTTTAATTTTAATGTTTCATATTTCATTATGTATTTTATTAATACCTTCATTCTTTTTTTGCAATTTCTGTATTTCATTTGGCGAAGCTTTGCTCGATATAGTTTCCATGGTCGACAGTCGCCTCATCAAGATTTCGCTTTTCTCCTTTTCCAATCTCTCGCATCGTGATTGCAATTCTCTTATTTGTGTTCTCAATTGTTCCACCTCACTCTAACGATAACAAGTTCATCATTATTTCCTTAATTTAAATTTACACAAATAATTCTCTAATCATCTAGAGCACTAAAGATTATTATTGCTATAAGCGTACTAAATTTCGTGTAAAATGATTAGTACAAATAGAGGAAACAGAAGATGAGATATTAAAAACGAATTGAAGAATGCTGGTATGGTTACTTTTTCCGTCCATTCTTCGTTTTCCATTCGTCTTTCTCCATTCTTTTCCCTGTTTTTCGAAGAACCAGTCTTCGACTTCTTCACCTGAATAGAAAAACCAATGTATAACAAGAAAACACAATTTTTCCATGTACAAATACAAACTTTCTTTATCACAAACACTTTGCTTGAATAATATACATACGATAAGGATCAAATCAACGATAGTTATCGTGAAAGTTGATAATAATGGAAAGAAAGTTGGCAAGTACATTTAATTAATACTTGATATGTAAAAACAGTTTGAAAAATTAGTATTGAATGAAAATTGTTCTGACAAAAGAATTAAGTGCATTGATAAATAAGTAAACACGGGATATATAAAGTATGTAATGTTCTCGAAATATATAATATTGTAGAAATTTATAGTATTATAAAATAATTTAAAGTTAATTTATTTTATATTAAATAATGTAAATATTCAATTTGAAACTAGCTTGGATTTATATGTACTTACACATATATATATATATATATATATATATATATATATTAATTATTAACTTTACATAAAATAAAAATTACAACATTGCAATAAGCGACAATTAAAATAAGAATCTTAAAACGATTTTAAGTATACCTGAATTATGAATTCGACATCATTTTCTGAAGCGCTTTCATTACTGTTATCTATGACTTCTTTAATCTGTAGTTTAGTTGGCCTCCTATCTATAAATAATAAGATGAGTTTGACAACGAAAAAAATTTATCAAAAAATCTTAATATATGTAATTAGTTAGTTAATCGTTAAATAAATATATATACCTTCTAATCTCTCTTCTTCGTTGTCGATAGCTGAAAGATCCATGAGCGAAGTCCAACCGGCTGATGCATACGATGGCTCCGAATTTCCTTTAAAGTCATCCTTTGCCAAATTTGTTGCCGAGGACCAACCGCGCTTTCCATTTTCAGCAGATCTATTAATTAAAATTGTATTACGAAATTTTGTATTATTCCAATCAGACAAAAAACGCATAGTTATGAATTCCAGAAATAATGTATAGCATAATAAGTTCTAGATTTGCATAATGAATTCTAGATATAAAAAAAAAAAAAAAAATACAATGAAAAAAAATCGAAGGTTACATAGAATGGAAATAATATACAGTAAGATAAGAAATTATGGAATAAATTTAGAGTCTAAAATTTATAAGAAGACTTCGAAATAACTGCGATCGAATTCCTCGATTTAAACAAGATTTCTTGATCAAAGAACGATTTTAACAATTGATCTCTCGAATTCACGAGAATGACAGCTGACAATAAATCTTAATATGATTAAATAATATGTAACTGTTGACTTATTTTATAATTTTAAAGTAACATTTGCTCGTTTTTAATAAAATAATTGTGCTCGTAATATAATTTGTAGTTTCAACAATGTTAATTTCATCAATTTTAATTGCAAAAATTTTGTATAATTGTATACAATTTTTAATTGTTAATTTGATTATGATTTTTATTATATCATGCATCAATTTAGAATTAGAGATTAAAAGTAAAATATATTTAATATAGTTTTCTTCTATATTCTTAACAATGATGATAAGTTATTTGATTGCTTACCTGCTTGAAAATTGGTCAAATGATAGACTAGGTGACGACGATGTAATATCTCTCAAATTATCTTTCTTGCCCCCATGTTCCTTATAATCTCTGAACAATTTATTATATTTTTTTAATAAGATCTATTTTCGATTTTTATTTTTAACTTTTCTTTATTCATTGTAACAACAAAAATATGATAAAATAATACCTGAAGCATCTTTTGCAACGGGTCGGCCATCGTACTTGGGGATGAAAACCAAGGGGGCAAAGGGGATCTCCTTTTTTCGAGGAATACATGTGATGCATTCTGTATGTATAAAAATAAAAGATAACTTATCGTTGCAAATAAATGTTTTCACAAAATTATTGCTTTACACATATAAATTTCCTGCAACGCAAGGAATATAAATATTCTTATGTCATATTTTGAGTCGCGTGCGTGGAACAATGTGAGTTAAATCGACACTTGCTCATGGTGTACATTTACGAAATATGTGCATGCTCGTAGAAAGGGCTGTTTAACGAAACAAAAATGTTTAAATATATGCTCGTCTAATAATAAGATGTCACAGTAGATGGCTTATTTACTTAGAAAAATGATCGATAATTTACTTGAATCACTGATTTCATGCTATTCAGACATATAGATGAATATCATTAGTTTGAACATAAACGCGTATAGCATGTATGAAATATTAGGTACAAGTAGTATAAACAAGTATATAGTCCGTTTTATAATTTGATCGTAGTTAATATATACATACAAGTGCGCATCAGTGAGTAAAAACGATAATGATATTATACGATGTGTCAATGAAAAATTATAATAAATTTCGTACCACCATAAACGCGTTATGTGATAAATTTACAAGGTTGAAAATCGAAAATCTCGATGATTTCGGGTAGAGCATATCTTGGAAAAGCGTCACATCGGGCGCAGATATGTATATCTATCAGCCTTTTACAATTTCTAACAGCTAATGAGATCGTTCGATAGCTCGAGGAACAATGGATTTGAGCGATCAGAGTACAATTTAAGTACCTAAAAACGAAACCTTGAATTAATAAGAGAATACGAGTTTCGCAAGATGAGAAGATAAAATTTAAGGTAAAACTTGGCTTTCGATGGATCGTGAAATACTTGGCAAGGTATAAATGAAATTCAGCTCGAAATTCTGCTTTATAAATTGGATGGATATAATATTCATTTGAGAAACTTTGATGGAATCTACGATTTTTGCGTTGACGCGATTTCAAATGTTTACTGATATTGTATGTTTGTTTAACTTCCGGTGATTTTGTTGAAAATGAAAAATAATATTTTTTTTTTATTTATAAAAATCATTATAAAATACGTAATTTCAATAAATGTTAATAAATTATATTTATATCGTACCATATTTGTTTTATGATAAAATCATAAATTTTTGTATTTTTAATTTCCATTAATGATTGATGAATATTTATTTGAACAATATATATCGATATAACTTAAAAATTCGATTTGATAAATTTGAGAAAATTTAAATCGCAAAATCAAATTTTTTGATTTCGATATTTCGTATTTGACAACTGAAAACTATTTAAATTTGTTTAGTTTATATTTGACTTAAGTTATTAAATATATATATATATATTTTATAACTTTATTAAATTTTTGATCGTTTGTTATAAACAAATCATTGAATTATAAGAAGTTTAAATGTAGATTTTATAAAATTGAATCGAATTAAGAAAAATTATTTTGATTATTGACAATTAATCTTCGTGTCATTTAATATCAAATTTATATTTTTCTTTCTAAAAAATTTAACAATTCGATAATTCACGTTTTCTAATCCCATAAGGAAACACATAGTTGTCTTTGAAATGATTAAACGATAATCAATTTTCAAGTATAAAAATGTTCAGTCATTTTCAATCTCAAAAAATCTTCATAAAATCTCTTATTTTAATAAAAAAAAATCAAATATATAAAAAATGAATTTTTTAATCTTATGCAATTCCATATCGATCGATTTGTACTTACTTGATCGATGTTCACCCAAATTGTACCAGCAGACGGGTGAGATTAAATTTGTCCTAAGCGTTGTTAAGAATACTTGAATGCGATGTTCGCGAGTACATCCTCCATTTCAAGAATACAAAATAGAAAAGAATCTTCTAATTTCATATTAAACGAATATAACAGACAAGCATATAATAATTTGATCGATCACTGTGAATGCACTCGTTCAAAATGTTTTTCTATCGATAACACGTATGATCCGTAGTTTTCTTACATTTTTAAATGTTTTTCATTCGTTTTTTATTGTTTCTTTTTCTTTTTTCTTTTCTTTTCTTTTTTTTTTTTTTTCTTTTGCGACAATTCGATAGACGTCACTAATAGCACTAACACGCTGCTGCTATTACGAGGGTTAGGCCGTTACTCGCTTCAGACCCATACGTATGATAATTTGGAATAGCGCCAAGATGTATATTTATCTCTAGCTATAAATATAGTGTGTTTCTTTTGCACATACATATGCATAGAGTTGAAGGTATCCTAGAAAATCTGTACTACGATAAAGAGATATAGGAACTAGTGAAATGATTGGATAATTTATCATCGAGTTTAGTTAGATTGATATATCGTATACTTTCTTTTCAACATTATAATACTATTTCTAATAATTTGATTGCAATCATTATTATTAAATATTGTTATTAAATATATTACATTGAATGGCATATTGCCTATAATATGGCATATTTCCGGTTTATGTACATCTTTTTCTATAAGTTATTCTAAAAGACATATATTGTATTATTATAATTTATTTTAAACGAAAAAAATAGAAAATTAAATATTTTGATTTTAAAATTTATATTTTAATTAGATTATTTAGAAACTTATGCTTTTTTTTCTAAATCTCTACTTCTATTCCTTTCATTTCCTTCATTTTTGAAATCGTCAGCATTCTTTTGTCGAAAACTCAATTGAATTTTTATATCGTTAAACTGAAATTTGCGGAAGTGAATCGAATAAAATTTGTTACGGAATATATATCCTTATATAACTTTAGAATAAGTTTTTTTTTTTGTAAGAAAAAACACTTATATCTGTTAAAAATTTAAATAGAAATAGTCGGTTTTACAAGTTTAATATGCTTTACATAATTATTTAAAAGAAAACTGATTTCAATAAAAAGTAACAAATTCAAATAAAAATTTTCATTCTTTAATCATTATTTACGGATTTTTGTGATGAATATTTTCATAAAATTAAAAAAAAATGGAAATCAATAATTTAAAAAAGAAAATTAATTTTTTAACTTTATTTATTTAATATTAAAAACAATTTATTAACAAATATAAAACCCTAAACCTTTGTATAAAAATTTTTATATATTTTTATATTATATTATGTTAAGTGTAGTTTCCATGTTTTTATATATTCATATATTTAACAATATATTTTTTATGATAGTTTGTGAGAAATACTCTATAAAAAGATAAATTTCAAAATTGAGATTACATAATAATTCTTGTAAAAAGATTTTGCAAATAGTAAGAATACTTTTAAACTTATAGTTGAGTTTTTTATAGAGTATCTCTATAAAAATATAATATATATGTATATTATATTTATTGAAACTGACACCTAATTCAAATATAAGTATATGATATAATAATATAACGTAATAATATAATATAGAGATATAATTAACAATTAACATTCGTTTGTAAAAAAATAAATACAAAACAAATTTGATATAGATCTAATCCAATTATAATTCAAATTATATCCAACAAGTTTAATATGCTTTACATAATTATTTAAAAGAAAACTGATTTCAATAAAAAGTAACAAATTCAAATAAAAATTTTCATTCTTTAATCATTATTTACGGATTTTTGTGATGAATATTTTCATAAAATTAAAAAAAAATGGAAATCAATAATTTAAAAAAGAAAATTAATTTTTTAACTTTATTTATTTAATATTAAAAAACAATTTATTAACAAATATAAAACCCTAAACCTTTGTATAAAAATTTTTATATATTTTTATATTATATTATGTTAAGTGTAGTTTCCATGTTTTTATATATTCATATATTTAACAATATATTTTTTATGATAGTTTGTGAGAAATACTCTATAAAAAGATAAATTTCAAAATTGAGATTACATAATAATTCTTGTAAAAAGATTTTGCAAATAGTAAGAATACTTTTAAACTTATAGTTGAGTTTTTTATAGAGTATCTCTATAAAAATATAATATATATGTATATTATATTTATTGAAACTGACACCTAATTCAAATATAAGTATATGATATAATAATATAACGTAATAATATAATATAGAGATATAATTAACAATTAACATTCGTTTGTAAAAAAATAAATACAAAACAAATTTGATATAGATCTAATCCAATTATAATTCAAATTATATCCAAATATAATTCTAATAATTAATCGAAAATTATTCTTAGTTTCAAATTAAATTGATTTATAATTCATTTAAATTTTGTAAAATTAACAAAATACTCGTTAATTAAATGATTGATTATAACTTTTATTCTTTACAACTCATTTATCAAATTATCTTCCTTATAAAAGGAATGTCTATTTCTTTGTAAATTCTGTCTTTTTTTATTAAATATATTTTTTTTAAAATGAAATAACATTTATAAAAATAGAATTTTAATATGAAATACTAACTATTAATATATCTTATATGAAATTTTTAATATAATGTCCTTTTATCTTTCTTTCTTTCTCTTTCTCTCTATTGTATAGAAAAAAAGAATTGAATTCTTTAAAAGATATTATCTTTTAAATAATTCAATTTTTTGCACATATATATATATATATATATATATATATAATAATTTATATTTATTATTTATTTGCAGAACGAATGTGCAAATTTTGAGTGAATTTCAATCTAGATTTTGATTATGATAACAATATTTTGATTATGTGATTTCTGAGTTTTCAAATCATATTTTGATATCAAAATTAACTTTTCTTGAATTAAGTATTTATACATTTTCATTTTTTATTTTTTTATAATTTAGAACGAAGAAGTTCAATCTTTTTAGCAGCACGTTTTTGTAATTCAATTAATTTCATTGCCATTCCCATGTTTCCTTGAATCTTAATCTTTCCTTGAAAAAATGCTTTTTGTGGATTTAATTTTCCAGAAATAAAATCTACAATATCCATATCGTTAATTGTAATCACAACATCAGGTTTAGATTTTCCATAATATTCTATTTTTCCTTTTCCTGTTTTAGCATCTACAATCCAATAGCCTTCCGTTGTTCCGTTGTTTACCTTAAATCCATATACCCCGCGAACTTTTTCGATCAAATTATCTTTATCCTCTTGCATCGCAATTTCTAATAACTTAAATAACGCATTTGCCTTGAATTGATTTGGATCAGGAGTTGCACTTGAATTTTTCTTAGTTTTTTCG